CAAAGGCTGCAGAAGTCTTATCCAGGCGATCCCCAGGAAGGCTAGTTCCTCCTCGTTTCCTGCCAGGCCACCAATGTTATCAGCAAAAAGGTAAGTTGGTAATTGTTCTGCCTCTGATGCTGACTGTTCCTTGGTGACCTTCCAGTGTGTCAGTCATAATTCTCTCCAGAAAGATATTGAAAAGAGTCGGTGAGAGGAGAACAACCTTGTCTGACTTCGACTGTGGTTCTGAACTACTAGTCTCCTATGCCACCTTTAAGGTGGATTGCAGTAGTGGCCTTTTTGTAGAGATTTTCAACGACTTTGATCAGGTTGGCATTAATTTTATAAAGCCTCATAGTAGACCAAAGGGCTTTATGCCATACCCTGTAAAACGACTTTTTAAAATCAATAAAGGTGTGATAGAGGACTTGTTGATGTTGGAGGTACTTCTCGCACAGTATCCTAAAATTGAAGATCTGTTGAGTCGTACTGCGACCTGCTTGGAAACCTGCCTGTTCTTCTGCGATGATTGATTCTGCCCGACGCTTCAGCCTATTTAACAGCACCTTCAGCAGGACTTTACTTGGGTGGCATACTAGGCTGATCGTGTGGTAGTTCTTGCACTGTTGAAGGTTACGTTTCTTGGGAAGGGTGATGATATAAGACTGGGTAATTGGTATGGGCCACTCTCCTGCCTGCCATATCTTATTGCAGATTTTCTGAAGGCACTTATCACAGCATCTCTTTAAATGTAGCCGAAAAGACAACATCACTAAATCATGGTCGCTTCCTATGTCAGCTCCTTGGAAGCTTCTTGTCTTCGTGGTGTTTACGCTGGTCATGAAGCACCTCCTAACCATGATATAATCAATCTGGTTATGGTATCCTCCATTTGGGCTCTGCAATGTCCATCTTCTGGATACCAAGTGTTTGCCAAGTGTATTCGCCAGCACAAGATCGTTGTAGCAAGTAAACTCCAGAAGCCTTAGACGTCTCTCATTTGTCTCTGGGTTGCAGTAGCATCCACAAGTGCCTGTCCAGTTCTTGAACGCATCCTCTGCTACTTTAGCATTCCAATTGCCTAACACAACAAGAATATCTCTCTTAGGGAACTGGTCCAAGACTTCAAGCAGATGGTCATAGAAGTCCTCAACTGCATCATCATCATATTCCTAGTGTGGGGGGTAGACCGGTATAATTGTGATGTTAACTGGACTTGCCCTCAGGCAGATGGTGATAAGCCTGCTTGAGACTGGACGGCAGCCCATGACAGTGTTCACAATGTCCTTGTGAACAAGAAATCCAATGCCTTGGTTGTGTTTGTCCTCCTTGCCACTGAAGTATAATTTATGACCATCCTCAGTGAATGTCTCGTCAAATTTTTTCCAATAGTACCTCACAGAGACCTAAGATGTTCCAGTGGTACCTGCTTATCCCATATGACAATTCTTCCAATTTACCTGCCATTCGCAAGGTAATTCTCACGTTCCAGGTGCCAATGGTGATATTGTACCTGACATTTCATGTGGTGTATCAGGCCAATTTTCTAAGCCTGGTTTGGGTTCGAAGTTCCTTCTTCTAGATGAGCTTCCGGCCAAGGATAAAGAGCCTGAACTGCCCGAACCTGATATCCCACAGCTAACTCGATCCTTCAGGTGAACTTAGCCTGTAGTCAGTAAAACTCCCTACAGTTAACGCCCTAGGATGCCTCCTTGGAATTTCACCTTTTGGGTGAAATCCCTGTGGGGGCAATTATTATAACGTATTTTGCAAGGAGTTTGATCGAAATGAGCATTTCTCTCCTTTTGAATCTTGTTCCCGTGGAATTAAGATCAGCATCTGAATCAATTCAGCCAATCTAAATAATTTGGGTCGGCCTTAATTCAAATTAGGTTCGGCTCATGAAAAGTTTGGCATTTCAACCACGCCTTTTAGATAATTCAGAGACCACATGATCATCGATGTTTCCAATAAATGCAAAATAGCATTAAAATAGCATTTTAAGTGTTGTTTTTCCATATTATGCATTTTTTGAATAATTATCATGAGAATATTTAATGGAATGTTCAAGACCCCAATGGTGAGGGCTCATTGGGTTGCCCACTGCGCATTAATTTCTTGAGCCGGGGCTGTAGAGTGACTTCTACCGTTATGAAAATCTAACAGTAATATTCTGTTCCTGAAAACTCGCAAGGCAAAATTAAGTTTCAGTTTTATTTCTGTCGGATTTTGCATTTAAAGCCCTTCTAACAATCCAAGGCAAGTGAATATACATATATGTTTCTATTTGATGGAGCGATCTACTTGCATAAAGATTTCCTTTCTTGTAAGGAAAGACTTTTTACATGCAGAGAGAGAACTACAAATTAAGTTGAAGTTTTTCCAATGGGTATTGTCGGAGGGTCGTTTGTTTCTGCAGCTCCCGCGCAGGCTAACTACATCACTGAACACTGTATTTAGACAATCATTCTGTGTAAATATAGAGGGATGATAACTCCACGCAACAAGTTTGTGTTCATTCCAAAACAACTTCCAACCTGTCTGCTAGAAGACCTAAAATGAACCGTCCCCTCCCTGCAAAAAATTGGCCTTATTGAAGGGGCCCATGAGACACGCAGAGCCTCCTGTGAGCCCCATCTGCCATCTTGTCTTTTTTTGACATAGACGTGACTCATTTTTTAATTGGGCATAGCCCTCATGGGCAACGCAATAAAAATGATTTGAGTTGATTAGAGTAAGATCTTCTGTGCAAGATCATACCACTGCATAATATCAGGACCTTGGAACTCTGGAGTGTAAGTTTGATGTGATGCAAAGAATCTGATTGTAAAGAACAGTGCTGATGCTTGTGCTTAAAAGTAGCCCATAAGGAAAGGTTTCTTGTTTGTTTGAATGATGTAGTAATTAAGAAACCACTAATTTAGTCTGACTGAAAACAGCATATGCCAGGCTCTTAGATAGTGGTGAAGTTGCAAAAATAAAACAAGCCAAGCAAAAATACGACAAGTGTGATCCCTCTCCCCAGTCTCCTTGCATTTTTCACAACACTTTTACTGCGCAACTACACATAACTATCTTGGAACCTGGAACAGCTTTTTCCATCTGATAACAAATTACAGGTAATTGACAAAATGTACATACCAACTGGACCAATGTTGTAACCTTCATTCTCTTGAAGATTTCATCTTTCTTGTATTTATAATCTGGTAGGTTGAATGACACAATATAAATGTATCATTATTAATCAATTCATCATTAGCTTGGTCTTGCCAATCCTTGTCCTACTCACTTTATAGAAGAAAATTTGAGGACCGGGTCCCATATCAATGAATATAAATTATAAAGTATTCTGAAACAAATTAAAACCTGGCTTGTTATTATGGTCTACAGGTCGTCAAATCCTTTCATGCACCACACCAAGACATCACTGAAAATTAATACTACGTTTTAATTAATGTTTCTTTTCTATCATTTCCACCAGTCTAATAAGAACTCCTTGAATAAAATAAGGCCTGTTCAAAGTACTTTGCCTCTTACAAGCTTTGTTCTGATGCAAAATAAAATTAACGTGGAGTCAAACTGACGCAAAAAAAGTTACCTCATATATAAGTACTTCAAAGCAGCAAGAAATAATAATAAAGGTAAATTTTAAAAAAATAGGTGTGCTTACTGCCCGGAAATGAGGGCACGAAATGACTTTCATTTTAGACTAAGCGCTTACGAATAGTTTTTGTGTCAGGTGTTCTATGTAATTCCAAAGAAGACTGGAGTGGCCCTGGAGCGTACATTCTACTTACATTGCTTTGCGGATAGATTCAACCTTCGTTTCTTAACTTTGTTCTTTTGTTTTTGTTTTATTACAAAATGACAACAAAAGCTAAGTTCATTTTTTTTTACACAAAAGAAAATGGCAGTTGAGTTGTTTCAGCATTTTTTTTTCACCTTTTATTCAGAAAAGGTGAGTCATTGTTTTAAATAATGTTTCAGCTTTGCAGTTATAACAAAGTCAATTCAAACAGCTGTACCACTTGCACTGCCACTGTCCAAGTTGATGTTAATTGACTGTCTTCTATAAAGGAATCAAAAACTTGAAAAGCAGAAAAGCTATAATGTAGTGATAGTTTGGATGATGTCAGTTTCGATAATTATCATGGTTTGACCCAGACCATTTTGGAAATGACCCAATTTCAAATGCCGTGTGGGACATATGACCCACTCTGACTAATTTCTAGATTGAACACTTAGTCTGTTGATCGCATGGTTAAGTAATCAGCACATGACTGAAATACAGGACTTTATCAAATTTATGTTCCAACATCATCCGATTTGGCGCTTTCATGGGCTCGGATGGATATTTTAATTCCTTTTCTGGACGAAGACATGTCTGTCATGTGGTGACAAGTCACTTATTTTTGGCTGAACAAATTTTGGCACATAATTCATCGAGGTTAAAAGATGCATTTATGCACCTGTTATAGATGGGTACCAGGCAACTAAGAATTAAACGCAAACGTGATAACAGACAGACAATGAAGTCGTTTGATTAGCAACGCAGCAGCAAGATAACCACTGATGGGGCAAGATTAGTGACTAACTTTTTCGCATTTCTTCGATTTTCTGAGTATATCTGGAAACGCTGGCACCTGAAGAAAATCACACAAAGACAAGATTAACTTAAAATTCGGGCACCAAGTCTGGGTGAGAACAAAAATCACAACTATATCTGATTTGACATTCAATCTACAGACGCGTACCAGTGTCGACCGTTGCAGCGACATGTTCATACTTTGGATTTTTAGGAACTTTCTTGTCCAAAATCTGCTCGAAATAAAATTTAAGAAACTATAAAAACGTAGAATTAAAATAAAGAGCTGATCAAACTGGGTACCACAATAAAACAAAGCTTACATTCGGGGGTTTCTTCACAGACCTGCTTGTGGCAGACATTTTACTGACCTTCCGTCAAGGACGCGGTTGCTAAGTTGAAGAAGAACATTCTGTGATGGGAGGGGACGGGGCATGTCTCCCTTCATTTCAACACCAATGCATGCAACATGGCGGTTTCTAATTTTCAAATCTTTTGTGCTGTCACCGTAGTGGCAGTAGCCACATTCATTAATTTACCAGCCCCTCGTTTCTCTCAAAGGCTACAGGAGTGGAGAAATATGGGGCAATATTTTAATTACAGAGGCAACGCCATATTTTACCAAGGTGAGCCCATGAATAAGCTTTTATTGGCGCGAAATCGATTGATTTGCATATGAGTTTTGAATTTTTAATCTAAAGAGATTTAGGAACCCCATTTTTGTTGATAACAGTGAGCAAAACGAGGTGTATTTCAGAACATCAATTGCAGAAGCTTGCCAACATCGATCACAAAACCTTCTTTGTTTGAATAATTTGTTATGCATTGCATGCAATTCTTGGTTTACAACCACGTGACAAGGCGGCCATGTTAGGGGTCAATAAAACCGAATTTTTTCTCGAAGAATTTACATGAAAATACAGTTTAGTTCCCAGAGGAGAGAAAGGCTTTTGTTTTTGACCACCAACATGGCTGCCGTGACATCACATGCAAACCAGCAATCAATAAAAGCAGATATGGCCTTTTAGGTTACGCTTCAACAGCTCATGTCTTAGTCGCCAGGTTTTTGATGCTGAGTATAAATTTGCTTTCAGATTTTAGAGGTTACAAACAGGATGAAGAAAGCGTTGTTCTTTGTATTCATGGATTTCCTACCAGTAACTATGACTGGTCAAAGGTGGGCGGTCCTCTCTGTCTTTATGAACCAGTCAATTCCTAATCCCCGCCCCCCCCTGATATTTGACTGGGGTCTTTTTCTGTACAGCAGGGAATTTGCTCCAAAATGAGGCCCGCCCAGTCAGGCATTTGACTTTCATTTTCAAAATGCTGATCAGCATTGCAAGCAAAATGATTTTTTAATTTTTTCTTGAAGGTCATTGCTCCTATATTCACTGTTTTGCTGGAGCATTTGAGAGCCTTTGAAAAAGCCCAGTAAATGTCGGCTTTGTGGAATGAACAATTTTAAAGGAGGATATTGCCATCTTCCCATCGTGCATTGTGGTCAAACTATATTATCAGACGGCTGAATTCCAGTGTGACTCATTTCAAAGTGTTGCCACGGAAGCAACACATTAGAGCACAAGAGAGATTCATAAAATGATTCTAGAAATCCAGTAAACTCCGATAACTGTATCGATTGTATGATGCAACAGATGCCCTTCTCAGGCCTAAGATTTTGTTTGCTGTTTAAATATCTAATCAATATTTTTTGACTGTATGTAAATAAAAGCTTACTGATAAACCCTTTTACATATGAATAAAATGAATTGATACATGGGAAAATTTTTGAATAGTCGCAGGTGGGTGGGGGATTTGATGCTTTTTGAAGCACTAGCCGGTGGGCATTTGACCATCTGCAAATATATNGAGAGTGTGTGGTCGCGTGGTGGTGCGAGATGTTTGTCGTGTTACTGCTGATTTAGTGATAAGGAGCCGAGTGAGGAGAGATGTGGGGGGGGGGGGGGGGGGGGGGGGGGGGGGGTGGGGGAGGGGGAATAGGACATGCTCGGAATAGACCTTATAATATTCTTGATACCCGCCATCTTTGTGAGCACTTTAGGATTGATTGAGACAAAAGCGATGTAATGTGTTATTTCTGGGGGCAAACAAGTGGTAAAATCTGCCAATACATCATTGGGTAATTTGAGGTTGAGTTCGTTTCCTCTCTCTTAAAAAAAAGTCCTAAAATAAAAGATAATTTATGCTTTTCCAAACCTAGCAAATATAGTGAGTAACCACTTCTATCGGTCGGGTTTGACAAAAACTTGAATATCAGCTTTTCTTTAGGACTGGCAGCTTTAAAATTTTGCTTGCTAAAAGGATAAGCTTTGCCTTGCCCATCAGGCATGTGAGCATGCCAAGCTGTGCCCGACAGGGATTTACTTGAGAATGCTTCTGTTTATTTGCTCTAAAAATACATTTGGAATTATAAGTTTGCATGATATTGATTTATATTATTAATGACTGGTCCCAAGGGAAACAGTAATTTGTTTGCCGAGAGTCTCAATGTTTCCCAAAGGGCCAATCTTGAAGTGATTTGTTTCATAGCTGGAAATTTTGTTGCTGGAATTCATTAAATCTTGCTGTAATATGGCAGTTGTTGGTCAACATTCGCGGGTAACAGTGCACTGTTACCCTCTGACATCATAAATTTTGCAATGTTGCCTGCACAGAGATTTTGGTGAGAAACAGTTTCATTGTTAGATGTCATGTGACCTCGAGATAACCAATGAGAGTGCCCGCTGCTGGGAAGAAATTTCCAGCTATATAGCAATATGTTATTGCTCTCTTTGCTTGAAATTGGAATTATTGAAGAGTTAAAATTGTGGAAACAAGATATCTAGTCAATGTCACGAATTTTAGGTCTTTGAAGATTTTTGTACATCAGCAATGATGCAGGATGCTGAAGTAACATAAGCAATGATTTTAGTGAAACAAAATGAATTTAAATTAGGAGTTAGGTCATGCCTTTTCAATATTTGTATATATCTGAAAGAGTTATGCTGAATGGCACTTTGAGGTTACTGGTTAACTTCTTGGAAGCATGACAATAGGTACGTTCCTGTAAATGAGCCCATTTCATAATAACTGTGTAGTGTATAATTTTAATTTTAATCCAGGTTTGGGAACCACTGAAGAGAAATTTTGGACGAGTCATTGCAGCCGATATGCTGGGCTTAGGGTTTAGTGATAAACCGGTGGGTATAGCTGCTGTTTCAGTTCAAAATTAAATTCAGGCTAAAATTTTTTAACCTATTATGAGTCTTAATTTCCTTTGTCTCCTAGCCCTAATTCATGGAAATTATGGCTGGGAGACAAAGGAACCTGAGAATCAAGCTAGGTTAAAATTTCAGCAAGCAAAGAAAGTAGTGTCTAATAGCTTGGGGCTAGTGGATATATTGCTGATGGGCTAGTGAATTCTGTTCTTAACTAGCCCAACTGAAGTTTTTTTGGGAATTCAAATAACAGATTACCAATTTTTATGAGAACTGTAATATTAATCCTGCTCATCCCCAAAAAACTTTTTTGGGGGACTATAGTTATAATGACTTTTGGGCTAGTCCGTCCTAGCTACAGCTTGCCAAATTTAATTTTGACCTGTAACATATAAATAGCCATGTGTTATGCCGTATAGGGGTATTAAACTTATCTGGTCTCACCTCCACCTTCTGTCCCCTCTAGCATTTGAAAGTTTTATTTTTGTATCGTTCCTAGCCTGTTTTCAGGCCCCACTGTTCGTTGCTCTCATCGGCCATGTCTTAAAGTGCAAGAAAACTTGGAACTTTAATAGGTTCTTCATATTAGACACAATTATTTCAGCGTAGTGTTCATAATTGAAGAATTATGGAAATCAAGCAGGGTGTAACAGGGTAACACCCTCCAAGATCTCCATAATTCTTCAGATGATACGAAAGCTGAATTCAACAACTGTTATATTATTCATTCAAAATAATTCCTAGTTTAAAAAAAAAGCTAAAACATGCTTACCTCCATCGATGTTAAGTTCATCTTCGATAGTGCATGTTTATTGGCAAGTTTAGGAGATAAAGGGTTGTTCAGTTCTGCAAATATTCTCCAAACAGCAGATGTCCTCCAGCGAGTTGTCTTCTGGCTGTTCTTGCTATGTTTTTAACCAACAGTTCTTCCTCATGAAACAAGTGAAATGTTCCGCCATTTTGTATTCACTACCAAATTAACTCAACCTCATCTCCAGGTCTTCTTGGTAAACCATTCAATAATCTGGCAATTTTGCTGCATGATTGATGTCAGCAGTTCACAGTAGCTGGTAATTATGAATTATGCATGGGATGGAGCGCGGATTTTAGCCAATCAGAAATGGAGAGATCCTTTGAATGAATAATCATTATTATACTACTACATGAGAAATTACTGCAATTTGATTGGCTTAGAGCAGTGGTATTTCAGCTTAATTTGAAATACCTACATGTGAAAATTACAAACCTTTTGTGGGTAGTAGTATAAACAAATAATAGCATGATTTGTATGTGACATTTGGCATAAATACCACTCGTGATATTTCAAAATTGTCTCAAATTTTATTTGCCTAACGGCTCGTGAAATTACATGTAGCAATTTAAAATATCACTCGTGGCATTTAATATACCAAACATCACTACAAATCATGCTATTACCTATACTTAAAATTATTATGATGTCATATAGACAGAATTGCTTGCATTTAAGAGAGGATAAGGGATCTAGGGGACACTTTAATTCGTGATGTCTACCATAACGGAACAGCATGAATCTCATTAACTGAATGAATGAGCCCTAATAAGCTCTGAGTCAATAGCCCATGAGGCCGAGGCCAAATGGGCTATTGACTCAGAGGCCATGAGGGTGAGAGGAATAATTGTTTTAGTCAAATCCAACCAGTTCGTCAAGAATATTTTAGCTAGTTAAAGCTAGACTTTAATCCTCGTTTGCTGCCAAAAAGCCGGCGCTTTTCGCTACTAGTAGGCTATAACATATAGCCTAGTAGTAGCTCAACCAGTCAGAATGCAGCATTGATAATAGACCACCAGCTGGATTTGACTAAATATATATATTTCGTGAATATATAATTATAATATCTCACTTGGTTGCAATTTCGTTGAAATTCACACAGTCTATTGTTGTGCATTCTATGTTATCCAGCGTGGCAGAGATTACACAGTAATGGAACAAGCCACATTGCAGGAAGAATTTGTGCGGTATCTTGGAATACATAAGGTTCATATTTTAGCGCATGACCTGGGTGACACAGTTGCTCTTGAAATGTTGGCAAGGTAATTTCTGGGATGTTCTTTGAATTATATTGTTCAATGTTCTCAATTTAATCTCCTTGGTCAGGGAAGAAAAATGTTCAGCTCTGTCTCAATCTGACTCTTGTGGGACATAAAAAAGCCACTAAGGATATGTTACAATCTCTGTTAGTGACCACTCTTAGTGTCCATAGATTGTAGAATTGGGTGGTGGAAAGGTTTATATTCATGAGAGGTGAAATAAAAAATGTACAAATATTATTTTAATGTAACATGTAGAGCAGTTATTCTTGATTAACTACCGGTCAGCATTGTGCTGTATAGGTATGTTGGGTATTCCTTTTTGCCATGCCTCATCTGCACAGCCTCCCCTAACTATTAGCAGGGGTTTCAATAAAAATTGAAGTAGCTAGCAGGTTTGAAAAGAGTATCCAACTGTATCAATGTTCAAGGAGTGTCTGGGGGCGTACTTCTCCAGAGTATTTTGAAATTTCAGAGCCCTAGAATGTGATTTTCAGTGTTCTGAGTACAAAATTGAGGACAAAAGAGTGTGTTTTTCATTCAAAAATATGTAGCTTTCATTTAAGGTTTGATTTATCGGTGACACAATCAATTCCTACAACCCATGAACGAATGATGAAAACTAAATTACGTTAACTTTGCTCGTAAACAAATTCTGCATAAATCTATAAACTTGAAATATAGCGTTCACATGACTAAAGCATAAAACCAGTTAATTCAGATTTTATGATCTTTTTTATTTATGACATTATTTCTTTCTAGAAAAAAGTAGCCGACTTCTCTGTGCAAAGTAGCCTATGCCATGGTTTGCACTACTACAGAAATTCCTGGAAAACTCCTGGAGTTTTGAAATTTTTTTCCAGGGCCCTGGAAAACTCCTTTAAAATTCAATTTTGGCATCAACTCCTGGAAAACTCCTTGAATTTATCTATGAATCTTAGGATTAAAAAAATACTTTTTTGGACTGTTTTTTTTTTTTGTAAGTAACTTGTTTAGTGAAATTTACAACTTTGGGGTCCTGGATTTTTTTGTTTATACCCTGGAAAACTCCTGGAAATCTCCTGGAATTTCATAATCTAGAGGTAGCTATAGTACGAACCCTGCTACACGTTGTGTGCTTGAAAGCCCTGTATGAGATAAATTTATAATAGAGGGCTAAGAGGAGTTCTTTCCTAAGAGGAGTTCTTTGCCATAATAAAATTCTTAAGATCTGTGGCTCTGTCAATACCAAGTGTGCCCATCCCCTTCATCTCCACAACTTCGCAAGATGTCCTTTTAAATGTTTGACAACCCTGGTAACTTGCAGACGTTTTTAATTGTTTTCCCGGCTCATGGAAGTTCATCCATTTGCAGATATGAGGAAAGAAAGGCAAAAAAGCAGGACACAGCAGAAAATGAACTGCAAATAGAATCATTGTGTTTAACTAATGGAGGTAATCATTGTTTCAACAAGGTTAGACAGCTGGTATTTTTAGTGTATTATTTAGCATGGAAAATAGATCAGAAAGGAAAGAGTTCATAAATACAAGATTATTGCTTCAAAAAGCATTTACTGCTGTAGATAACATCAAAGTCATTGAGGATGTGTGTGGCCGTTCTTTGACTTTAGTGATCCCATTCTGATCAATGATCAATATTCTATATCTTCTCATGTTTTAATTTCCTTTTTTTGTTAACTTGGTGATTTTCAGTTTTAAGTTTTGTCATGCTAAGAGTCAGAGAAGGAACTGAGGGCTGGTGACCTATCCAAGGCACGGTCCGGCACTGACGAGCACCCCAGGTCTTGCTGGTCTATGGAAATACATGCATTATCCAGACTTTTACTTTTAAATTAATAAAATATTAATCTGAGCTAACACTTTCATTATCTAATGTAACTTCAGGGATTTTTCCAGAGACAAACTTTCCTATGGTCATTCAAAAGGTAAACATTCTGCTAATTCAAAGAATGCACTATAATGTTATTATCAATGTATGACTGTTATATATTATGCTAGTGGATATATGTTTCTAATGTCATACTGGCTGATAGACAAATTATTTTTGATAATAATTGAGTATTTGAATTCTTTATAAAGTTGCCTGTATATTTGATTGTACTTGCATGTAACATCAGGATGTAACATGTAATGCACATGTATGTTATGATACAGTAGAACCTGATAACTTGTTCTCTTCATACTCTCTGCTAACCCGAACTCAATCCATTTTCCCTTGGATTTGAACCCACTTTTCCATCCTTTTCTGTTTACTCAAACTCAGATAACTTGAATTCCAGACTTTCTGCTAACTCAACTAAATCTATCGATCTTGTTCCCACCAAAATTTACTTTGTTATAACTCAAATCCAACTCACCACAGATGCCATCCCATTTGCTCTTGTTGTGTAATCAGTAAAACACTAAAACTAATACTGCTGCAGTGATTTGGTTTTGATATAAGAAATGTACTGAACAGATCATATAATTAACAGTTATTTCCCTGTATTATTATAAGGATGTATAATTGTGTTACACTTTACATACTAATAACAAACAGTATGAAACTATTGTTATCTTAAATATAGCTAATTGAATATTTGATCAACTCCAATAACTTGAATCCCTGTGACCTGAATCTGATTTTCATTCAAGTTACCAAGTTTCTACACTGTAAATTTATGTATAGCTTCCTTAGGTGATTCTTAAGTTATGTTTACTTTATCCTCTCTTGTTACAGTTGTCAGCAAATTCTTGGATAGGTCCACTACTTGTAAGGCTGGCAAGCTATCCATTATTTGCACGAAGGTAACAAAATACGTCATCTGCATTTATCCATGTAACCAGTCATGTAGATATCATAAATTATAGTGATTTAAACTCTCTTTTACACGTTCATTAAGTATTATTTACTGTGCTATGCTGATCTTGATTGATTCAGTTTGCTACCTAGCTTCAGATTTGCTGCCTTCACTTCCCTCCAGATTACTGACAGAATAACCTTTAATATTATTCATTTGATGTTTTGTGTTTTTGAAGTCTTGCGTCAGTATTTGGTCCCCAAACAAGACCTTCAAGGGAAGAACTACAGGACTTTTGGACAATTGCAAGACATAAAGATGGCTATCTTGTTGCACCAAGGTTATACAAATGTACTTCTTTCTGAAGATTATTTTTATAAGGAAATGATGTCATGAACAGACCCATCCATGCTTTTGATAGAGCAAACACAAAATTTAAATTCCCACTACTATGTACTATTTTGGGGTACAGAAACTGAGCTGCCGATTGGACTTAATTTAATATTTTCTTTTCACCTTTGGGTTTTCTTTGGCAGGAAAATGTAGAGGCCATGGATTTTTCAAACCAGATGACCATTTTGGTCAGATAACATACTGACTATATTTCTTGTTAATTTCTATGATTATAAAAGCAAAATTTGTCATCTCAAGAATGTTAGTCTTTGTATTTGATCTGTGTGGTTTAATATCATCAAGCATTGACAATGACCAGCTGTTAGTCACTGTAATGCTTAATGGTACCATTTTGCATTCAATAGAGAATACATATACACCTAGAGGTGTAGTAAACCTATAAATAATATTAATTGTTTCATGAAGTAAGTTTTTGGTTTTTTTGACAGCTGTGAATCAGCTTCTTAAGTACAAATTTTACCTGACGTGCCCATTTCTGAGCACTGTTATTCCTGACATTTAATTCAAGCATATTGTGATGTGAGACACTATAAAAGGTACTGAAATGTGGCACTGTGTTTAAGTATTTTGCAGTACATGAGTCAGCGGCATGAAAACAGAGGTAGATGGGTAGGGGTTATGCAAACAACTTCAGTACCAGGTAAGGAACAGCTAAGAAAATGCATAAATAAAATAAAAACCGTTGAAAAAGGAAGCAGCTTAGGTGACGTACAAACTTGGACACTGAAAGCTGCTTGACGTACATTCTTAGTGCTGTTCATGATCAATGTCCATTACTTATTATTTAGTATACACTATTAGTACTTCTAGCTTCAATATAAATCTGACAGGTCTCCAAAGCTGGCTTTAATATGTCATAAGCATAAGCTACCTCATACAACCGGCACTCAATTACACAATGTATTATTTCAGCATGTTCTGTTAAATTTTACATTTTGTAAGATATGAGCCTGTAGGTAAAATGGCCATAATGTCTCTCCCATGAGGCAAATAATATTGTTAATGTTCTATTTCTTGTTCGTGTTTCAGAACAATAAGTTGGTACATGTACATGTAGCTAATGCCTCCTCTACCATTTTTCACTGATAGTCTAGTGTGTCAGTCCCTTGGAGTTGAACATACATGATTGACATTATAATCATTATAAATTCATCTTGCCAGGAAATCCTGAGTTCACATTTAATGTTCTCTTCTTATGAAGTCAAATCATGGACAAAATGTTTGACTCGTGGTTTCGTTTTGTCGTTTCTTTGTGACACTTCTTAAACTGCAGTTGCAAACATTATGCATTTATACCTGCCAACTTTTTCTGAGATATAAGCGTGAGATTTTTATCCTGGGAGTGCTGAGATTTTTGAAGATGACACGATCATTTCCGAAGAAGTCTGAAGTCTTCCGAAGATGTCCGAAGTCTGCCGAAGGCGAAGTTTTCACTTGCTTTTCACTTCAAAAATCAGAGATCGTGAGGAAGGTATTGTCATTTATTCATTTTACACATGGTTTTCGTTCCTTACATGGGTCTGAGTGAACATATTTTTGGAAATTGTGTCAAGCAAGAGGGCAACAACGCACATTTTTCAATCAGGCGTGAGAAATTGTCCCACAAGCGTGAGCCAACGTGAGATCGAAGTTTTCAACCCACAGGCGTGAGACTCACGCCTAAGGCGTGGGAGTTGGCAGGTGTATGCATTAAGCAATAAAAGAATAATTATAATCAGCCACAACTGAAATTGAAAAGTGCTGTTCTGAATACTTTGCAGTCGTCTGTCATCAGAAACACTAATGCTGGGATTTTTATAAATTGCAATAGTTCTTACTCATCACAAAGATGTGAGCAAAAATACTGAGTTCTTGTCAGCCACATTTTTAGTTTCCAGGATCATGCATTATCCCCTTGCTAGGGTGTGAGTTTCGCTTGATATTATGAGATAGTGAAGCAATCCAATTGCTTTAAAACACCATTACACCACTGAGTGCATTATGTATTAATTAACGTTATCTCTTCTCTCGTTTTTCTGCTTCTGCTGAGTGCGCAGTCCTATTGATACATACTTCCATTCTTCAAGCGTGTGCCTTCCTTTACTAAAACCAAAGAATGTAATAACTTTGTATTGGCTTCATTTACAGTGCACTTAATTTATGGCCCTGCTGATCCCATTAACCCTCCAATAACACTGGCCAAATATAGGTAAGCCATTTAGAGTGATGTTCTTAATTTAATTTTACCTCTTGGAGATCTGTTCATAGGTTGTGCAATGTTTGCAGCACTTTTAAAAGGAGAAAAGTCTGATCCCCTAAATTATTGACCAATTTTGCTGACCTTCTTTGCTTGCAAGATTTGTGAACATTTATATTGTACATAGTCATGCTATGAAATACTTGGAATGCTAAGTGACGTAGTACAGATTACCATCATGGTTTCAGGGTAAAGAGATCTATGGTGCTTCAACTAGTTCTCACCTACTATGATACAGTTAATGCAATACAACAAAACCAAGTAGTACACATGCCACAGTTTTGTACTTCATGAAAGCATTCAATAAAACACCAGCAATTCCTTAAGAAACTAGCAGGGTTTGTAAAGTGTCTTGAATTCTTGAAAAAGTCGCAATTTTCCAGACCTGGAAAAAGTCTGGAAAATAGCGTGAATGTCTGGAAGAATGGTAAAAAGTCTTAAATGATTTTTTTAAAGTTACAACAAGTGCTTTATAAGTGGAATTTTTTTTTGTTTTGGTCAAATCTTATTCAATATTAAAGGTCTCTATTGATCACCTATTTGATAACCTTGAGTCTGGAAAAAGAAAGTATTGTTTTGGGAAAAAGTCTTGAACTTTGGATCCAAAAATCTGTAGGAATCCTGAACTAGAGTATTATGGAATCCTTGGTTCCCTGCTCTCCTAGAAAGAATCTTTTTTACAGAGCTGCATCAAATCAAAAAGAGTTATTTGCAAAGAAGGGACATCTAATTCCTCCCCTATTTCCTCTGGGAACCCTGTTTCTTGATGTACTCAAACTTAACTTGCCTGATAGTCTGCAGTCCAAAGTACTGACCAGTAAATTTGTTTGCAGATGATGCACTATTATATGGTATTATACCAATTTTTATTAAAAAAAAAAAAAAATTAAAACTGTACAAGAAGATCTTCACAGTTTAGAATGGTGGCAACATCATTAGTCACGGCAAATAGTATGTTAGAATGGTTTCAGCATCTCTCATCAATCTCAAGGAATGTATTCCCCCAAGAAGGTTAAGGAAACTGCATATTATTATGTTTCCTGGCATTGTTCGTCCCAAATTGAAATATGAGAGCGTCTCTTGGGACCCATCCTATAAGAAAGACATTAACAGGCTTTAAAAGGTCCAAAGAAATTAAGTAGCATGGTTTTGCCTCCAAAATTGCAACCTGACACAGCCAATGTAATGAATTAGGATGGGATCTTGTGGATATCAAAAAAGAGGAAATATTATTTTAGTAATTAAGAAATATGCATACAAGTCATGCATTTAGCATAGAAAACCTAAAGTTAGCAAGGTCGTTTCTAAGTTTACCTTTTATCCTCAAAGCATAAGTGAACGAACTTTACCTTCAGAGATCATTCTAGCTCTTTTATACACTACTAGCTGCCTTAGGTAAATACATTAAATAGTATATTAATGCAGTGGAAATGAATATGACTTTATAAACTACTCAGGCCTGCTTTCTCGAAAAACTAATTAGCATTTTGTTTATAAGTTGAAAGCCATTTTAGAACTTTTTTTCTGCAAGGGCTCCACTGGGACACTAGTAAAAGTTTTTGCTACCCCAATGACATCATGGTGCAAAAATACATTTCTCTATTTTTTCTTCACATTTGTCAACAGGGAACTAGTTGTCAAAGGGACCTTTACATCACTTAAAGATGATATTGGGCACTATCCCCACTGGGAGGATCCTGATGGATTTATGGCTGCATATCAACACTTTCTTAGCAAATTCATGCAAGAAAAGTAATATTTAACCACTTACCCAGTATGAAAAGTATATTTTTGTAATAGATTCAAAAGGTAGGGCCATTTTTTTTTTTTGAAATTGTTGTCTGCTATATGAAGGTGCTGGTTAGTCTTATTATAGTGTACACAGTAAATAATTACTTGAACCTCTAAAGCTCGAAAAACTATGAACATCAGAAATATTTCTTGCACATTTTAGTGTTGTAAGGAAGAAGTCAATCAGGTTTGAGAAAACTAAACTGCAGCGAGTCCTGAGCTTTATTGTGGTTGGCCATTGCACACAACTAACACTCCTAAAACATTTCAATGTTCACAGTTTTATGAGTTTGACCTAACTGGTAAACAAAACAGCTGCTTTGGTCATCTGAAAAGTTATTGAATAAAATAATTATGTTGACTTTTCATGAGCCCATGTGAATAACAGTAAGTTTATTGGTAATTAATGTAGTTGTAACCAGGCATGAAGTACCATAAAATTCTGAAAAATATAAACCCTGGGGCTTATATTTTTCAAAGGCCCTTTTTGAGGGGCTTATATGTGGAGTGACTTTAATATGTACAGAGGGAAATTTGCATTTCAAAATTGATTGGGCTAGCTTGTAGTGGGAGGGAAATTTACCATTTTTGCTTGGTTTTACTTTGTATTCGAGGGCAAATTCCAAGTACTAGCCACCGGGGGGGCTTATATTCGGAGGGATGATGTAACAGGGTTTTTTGCATTACGATTTTTGGGGGGCTTATTTTCGGAATTTTACAGTATATCAAATAAGGCACAGTGTTTCATCTGATATCCACACAATCAAGAAGTGGATTGAAAAAAATAATGAGGCACAGCTAAGTTTAATGAGCCTAACTTTGATCTGTCTGGAAATTGGATGCAACACTGGGAGTGCAGTGTTCATAGAGCCTCCCAAATGAACAAAATTACTCTTTAGAAAATTTCAATGCAAGAGGTTGCAAAGTTTTATGGTGATTAGCACCAGACATTCACATATGGCACAGAAGTTTTTTTCTTTGTTTTGTAAACTAAATTGTTATTCAAGTGAGTTTGAGAAGTAAAGGAATGTTTACAAAAAGAGTCCAATGAATGAAAGATAGGTCAGGAGACAGATTTAGAGCTGTTTCTATTCCTGGTTGGAAAACACTTGTTCCTAATTGAGTAATTGTTTTAATTTTCAGTGGACAAAAACCTTGTACCAGAATAATTTAAACAATATCACATTCTTTTTTACATTTTTCATGGGCTATAGAATGTAATTAGTTATCTGTGATAACACCAAAGAAAACTTATCATGATAACCTGAGAAAATAAATGTCAAATTTCACAAAATGACATCTTACAAATGAAGTGTTCAGAATTTTACTTGTGTTTTCACAATTCTTGTGAAATTTGACATTTATTTTCTCGGCCTCCCATGAGAAATAGTCTTTGGTGTTATTACAGATAATTTATAATTTATACCTATAGCCCTTGAAAAATGTACAAAAGAATGCTATATTGTTGAAATTATTCCGGTACAAGGTTTTTGTCCACTGAATGTTGACATTACTCAATTCCTGATGGATTCCATCTTAACACTACACTTTGGCACTAAACAAATCAACACATAAATAAAGTGTGTTCTTTTTATGAGGCACTTATCCTATTCTCCTGAATATGAAAAATTTCCCCTGTGGAAAGGGCTGAATGATGATGATGAGTTAAGTTTATAGTCAGAAAACCAAGCAACAAATATATACATTTAGAATGGTCTTTATTCCAGGAGTTGTTGAGCATGGTGTGTTTGATGCAGTACAGAAAAGCAATTGAAATCATGCACTACTCATGGATGGAGTCTTCTGCTCCAGACAAACAACGATCTAACATTTTAAATAATATTGATAACTGTATTTAACTTTCAACATCTTAAAGGGGTAGACTTCACCAACCTCACACCCTTGAAAAATGAACAGAAATGATCTGTTGTTTTTCAATGGTGTAATTTTTTCTACAATTATGAGCATCCACTCCATGTTTTTTCACTGTTATTAAATTTTATATCATAAACCTATAAATGAGGTTAAAAAAATGATAATACTAATAGTGTTCATAAAGCAAAAAACTGAATGATTCTGGGAACTGTAGTAAAAGCATGAAAGTGGCCATTTATAATTGAGGAAGATGTCAATACAAACAGAATTGTGAGTTAGGTACAGAAAGAGCCCACATCATTGCATAAGTACAAAATAATGCTAATTGCAAGAACTGTCTCATAAGGACAGTAATATTATTCTGTAAACAATAAGTTATTCAGCTCAACTGAACAATAACTTTTTAGCAAAGGTCAACTTCATGATTACTAATGGAATGCAAGAAAATGATTTCTCGAGTTTGGTTAGCGTATAAAATGTTCTACCATGTACAAAAACTCCTTCCTCTCTCTGTACAGTTATTAAACATTAAGGAGTCATAACGAGCTTTGGTCAAATTGCAATACACGCACATAAAGGAAGGAAACATTAATTATTTTGACACTATAATTATCATTGACTTTAGAGAAGTGAATGAGGAAGAGAAGTATTATTTATTTTTAAATTCAATATTTGATAGAGGAATATTTTCTCCTCTAGTCTAACATGGATACATGTAGCTGTGTTCATTTTGTTATACTGCTGATGATGCTTTTGTGAAACTTTTTTCATTTTATATGGCTTTTCTAGCAAAAATTATAGCTCAGAACATGATTTCACACTTACAATAAATTATTTTAAATAGTGGAATTGAATCAAATTAAAGTACTTCTTTAAACAGTTTTTTTGCACTGTTTCCTTTGTTTATTAACTTTGCAAATCGAAATCACCAATAATTAACTGTCATAAAAAATCATAACTCTGCATTTTTTGATCTGAATTCAAAATTGAACAAGCTAAATATCTGTATAAAATTTAACACTCTGGTGCTTGCTGCAGTTTAAGAATGAATGCAAAATACTAATTCACCTTTAACTTGTGACTAAACTGTTTAAGTATGTACATTTCAGGTGATTTAAACAACAACTTACTTCATTTTTTCTGAAAACTGGAAATCATCCTCGGCAAAGAATGTTGTATCAAGAAAACCATTGTATTAATATCTAACCAGTCCTTACTTCAGACACAAAAACTTAATCTCCAATATTACCTATAACATCATGCTTTATAGGTGATTTAGAGAATTTTGATAATAAATACTGAATTCATCTAAAGGTCACGCTTTTTCTTGACCAAGAGCTGTTAATTCTGTTACATTCTGCTTCAGCTGAAATTATACTAGGTACTAGCATAACAACATATCCTCATTCTCATACTTTTCAAATTCTTCATTATCTCACAAATGAACATTCACCTGTAGTAATATGAGCAGACTTCTGACATAAGGAATTAACAAGAATAAGGGCTACATCACTCTATTAAAATGACAGCCCTTAAGATATACTTTTCTGCTTTCCTGTCATTCTGTTAGAAAACGAAAAATTGAAATTATGTGTGGAAGGGACAATCTTCAGTTGAACAATAAATTTTTAGTCTGACCAAAACATCAATAAACCTTCTAAATATATTATAATATTTTCTTTGGTTCCTAAACTGTCTTTGGTAGTGAATGAATATCTTTCTTCAGTCTAATGAGAGCAGCTACAGCCTCTGAAGTTGTCAACTTGTATCCAAACAGTGATGTCGTTGTTCCACTGCAATAAAATAAATTAAAAATAAATAAATAAATGGAAAATTGTTCATGGTTGCCAAATGCTAAGGTTTTAAAGGCTAACTGTACCTCTGGACTTAGAACATTCTGCCACAATAGGATGGTTGTTAGTATAGTAAAAACAAGAACGCTCTTACAGCAGCTGTAAGTCTTGCTTGCTTGGAGATTAGATCTTCGAGAAATTGAGGAGGCAATCAATTCTACACAAAAGAGGATTTACTCACTAAAGGTTTCTCACTTCCTACTTCTGGATATTTACTTTTTATTTGTTTCTGAATTGATTTAGCACGCGTGTGAGTGACAACTGGAAATAAGTCTGCGGTGGTAGGTTAAAAGAAAAACGTCTTGATGTGTGAGGTTGATATCTTTAGTCTGCAGGCATGAGACTTGCACATGATGTGTGAGAGTTGAAAGGTATATAATGTGACAGTCCTGAAGTTGATTAATATTTTCTATATAATTATGTATCGCTTGTCATACATGTACTGAGAGGAGTCATCAGGTTCTTACCAGTTGATGTATTCATGTGCTGGGGTCCACTGCCTGTCAGTGACTGGTCCACATTCACCAAATGACTTCACATGCAAACATTTCAGCAGACTGCTTTTTCGCATCTGTCTCAGTGCAGTAATATCTACAAGTTAAAAATAATATTTCACATCCAGGCAAAAATCAAGGAAATCACATTTCACATTTTATTACTAACTTACTAACGAAAGTGATTCATGAATCACATGAAATTTAATCTGATACTGTGTGTGTGTTTCCTATACTATACTAAATTTAAACAATCAGAAAAGACAACACTCCATTTTGGCATTATAGAAGGGGCACCACTCCAATAAAAAAATTATTGGTATATGGTGTCTAGGTCCAAGTGCCTCCATAACAATAATAGCCCAAATACATCACACTCCATGAGCTGTGATTTACTGTTCCTCTGTAAATCTTTGTTACCGGTAATTATAATACACTGGTAGTATAATAGAAGCTGTTCTTACCAGGTTTTCGGTTGCATTCAGCATAAATCCTAGCACATCTCTGTGCTGCAGAGGACTTCTGTTCTTCCTCTAATCCTTCAATCACAGCTATTCTGTCAGCAACTTCAGTGGCAGAGCATGCAATGATGTTATCACCATGAATCTGCAAATACAGTATTTTTATTAAAATCAAATCATTTCTTTGCATGTGTTAGTGTATTCTGGAGTCTGTCACATTGTTTTCGTCTTTTACACTTGACACGATGACATGAAGACCTAAAAAAGGCTACGTATATGCCGTATTCACTCTCTGTCTAGCCAAAAACCTTCACTCAAGCATTATTGCTTAATCTTTGTATCTAGGGTTTTTAATTGGGGGCATGGGAACAGAATGGTACCATCCAAACAATTATCAGCTGTCAGTATTATGAACTGCAGGGTACTTTTAGCTCTGCTTTCTTTTAATAGCTCCCAATATAGTTAGTCATTCAGAAATAAACCAAGGTTTTAGGCTTACCACAACAGAACTTTCTACAAAGTCATCCATAAGCAGATGTCCCTCCAGCTTAAGGGTGTCAAATGGTGGAAAGAAGCCTTTCTTTGCTAGTTCACTCATGACTTCTCCATATCTTGAATCCCATCCATGTGCCTTTGCCAAAATCACCCTGGCAATGTCCCTTGCATTGCGTAATCGGCACTTGTTTCCATCAGCATCCAGAATGGCCACACCTCTGTAGATGAAGTCTTGTGCATAGTTACAGTTCATGGGATCTTTCTGTCCTGTTGATTTAACAAATTTACAAAATTGCTGTCAGACTAATTCTTCAAGCCTCAACTGTGACCAGTGTGCACTTCACATAATAATGTGGATGATGGAAAAATAATGATAAAAGATTGTTTCTGATAATTTATTTTTTATTTCTTCTTATCAATGCCAACAAAAAAAGAATGGATATGGAGATCTAGTGGATAAGTGTCCTGATAGGCTAGTAAGGGTTAAGGGGCATACGTCAGTGCTTATATTCCAGAGGAGAATGCTTTTACCAT